TTCAAAACCTTGATTCCGATCTGTATTAGCCTCGTGCTACGTTAGTATATATAAATATCGTAGGTGATTGCGTAGTGAGAGACCTCCGTTTCTTTTACCATTGAGCACTAGAGAGCAGATAAGAAGCTTAACCCATAGTTGTGCTCAAAAACAATTCTTAGAAGAGAATAAACAGTTTTCTGTCCTAAACTTTATGAGGGAAGAAGTACTTGTGAGGCATAACTCGCACGTCATACTAGCTTTTGCGAGGTAATCATTTCACCACCTCCCCCCCCCTCCCTTCCCGGCGATTATCCTCTCTTGAAGCTCAGAGTGAAAGTATAAACTGTATTCTTCCGCCTAGAACCGTTTCTCAGCATGAGGGACAAGGTCCGCTACCTCTCCTTTTCTGCACTGAAATTAAGGAAAGAGGCCCGGCGTGAGCCGGGCGACCCGATTGGTTTTTCATGAAAGAAACTTCATTGGCAATTACGGTCCTATGTCTGTCTGTGGTCTGTGGGATAGGCTTTGCCAAGAATGATATCAAAACAGAGAGAAGCCATGGTCCTTCATCGAATCGCCAACTTTGCTGGGTAGCGGTCGTAATCTAATAGCAAGAAGTGAGACAAATTTCATCTCCTTGTAATCGGTCGCTATCACTACACCCACCCTTTTTTCGAATGAAACATATGAAAGAGTGAAAGCTAGATCGTAAATAGAAAAAGCTAGGATTTAATTGATGAGCGGATCTTGTTCTCTAAGTCCTGTTGTGTCGTCAGTGTTCCCATACTGCCTCATCTACTGCTACTAATTTTGCTCTCCAGGTCAACGGGATCAGGAGTTATTTTTTTCGCTCAGACGTTCATTCCGCGGAATTCCGCCTTCCGTAGGAGGAGTTTGGCCCTACGACCTGTTTTAGTACTGCCGCCTGTCCTCCTACCAAGTTTGAACGCCCTCGAGCCAAATTGAAAATTTTCGACAAACCGTGCCCCTGTGGGCGGAGTCTGATCCTGTCACCACCCATAAGTGTTACCATACTCCTACCACGTTTGATCGCTCTAGGTCCACGTAAAAAGGAGTTATAAATTTGCTGCCCAATGCTTCTATCGCGCACGCCCCGCCTCCTGTGAACAGGGTCCGATCCTGCCACCCATTATAAGTGTTCCCATTCCGCCCCCCCCCCCTACTAGTCCTACCAAGTTTGAACGCTCTAACTCCATGGGAGTAGGAGTTACGAATTTCGGGTCGGACTTACAAACCGATACACACACCCACAAACACACAGATTAGTGAATTATCTTCAATCCTTCTTAAGGTGTCCCGGCTTCGCCGGGCGCTCCTCCTTCTTGTGAGAAATTTGCTATGCGTAAATAACACTTAGGATTTCATTTTTCCTTGAAAGCTCTAACCCTCAGTATTAGCTCCGAGATGGGAGCGATTTTCTTCTTTATTATAATTGATTAATTGATTATATACCAATTAGAAGTCTCGATTTATTGCTCTTCATCTCAAAATTTTCACATTGATGGCTTAACTGATTGACAACAAATGTCTTGAATGGTACCCAGAAATGGATAACAACGCCTATCGCAGATGTCGTTA